GGTCACACAATACAGACGCCCCTGTACAAGAAGGGCCGTCTCCGCCTGCTGAGAAGACTGAGGTCCTTCGCAGTGTGCAGGACACTGTTAAGGACATTTTATGACAGTAGCAGCATCTGCAGTATTCTTTGCAGTGGCCTGCTGGGGATGCGGGAGCTCAGAGAGGGACAGGAAGAGACTGAAGAAGCTGGTCAGGAGTGCTGGCTCTGTCCTGGGCTGCTCTTTGGCCTCCACTGAGGAGGCGGCTGAGAGGAGGCTGTTGGCCAAACTTACATCCATGGTGGACAATCCCTCTCACCCCCTGCACGTGACAGAGGGAGCGTCACGCAGCTCCTTCAGCACCAGACGGCTGCACCCAGCATGTAAGAAGGAACGCTTCTGCATATCTTTCATTCTGTCTGCCATTAGACTTTATAACACAGCAGTGAACAATGTGAGAAGGTCACAGTTTTGTCCACGATTTTTGTATATTTACAGTATATTCACCCGGTGAATCTGTATATGTGTCATTCATCTGTGCAATTACCCTCGTGCAATTCCCCTACTGACTGTCCACTATGTTCTTACACTGTATCTATGCAACTTGTATATTTATAACCACTCGGTGTATTATCTGTATATGTATCATCTATGCAACTACCCACGTCATGTGTACAATATGAGTAACTGTGTGCGCGAGTTTTCTTATTTTTTTCTATTTTGTTATAGTAGCTTTCGGTTTGTTTTTTTTTATTGCTGTTTTATTTCTTAGGCTGTAGTATCAAGTAAATTTCCCCGGTCTGGGATCGATAAAGTCTTATCTTATCTTATCTTATCTTTTCATCTATCCGTCTGTCTGTCCATCCACTGAACTGTTCTACCTTCCTTTCACTTTCATGTGTTCTGTCCCACCCCTTAACTACAAAAAAGGAAGTTGAAACACCTTTAGCGATTTCTCTCCCCAAGCCAGTATTACCCGGTTTTGTCCATCTTCCTGTTCAGTTCTCAAGGTAAGACAGAGAATATTTTAGCAAAATGATACCAGTTACTTTAGTAGTAGTTCATGATTTTTAATTCCAGGGCTAGAAGTGTGACATGTTGAAGACCCAAGTAAAAATTATATATTTTTAAATACATATTTTAAATCAGTATAATTACCTACATAAGAATGTCGCTATGTCTTTGTGTGGGTGTCTCAGTGTTCCTCCGTGAGCTGTTTTGTGCAGGAATTCTTACTTACACAGTACTTTGTTACATTAGGTACTGAATAGACCAATGTGATAATAATAATAAACACAGGGCTTGTTTTCTGTGTGATGTATGTGTTACACAAACTTCCTGCTCCTGAAGAACTTGCAGGAACTGTCTGTCCAGCCTCAGAACAGAGTACAAAATGGAAACTTACCATATATTTTAAGAGTAACTGAGCTCTATAACAGAAAAAAAAATTATTTAAAATTTAATTTTCCATCATATGTTTATCATTTCCCTAAAACAGCAAAGGGCCTCAAAAGTTTCACTTTCATTTTTTAAATGCAGATGTGTCAGTATCAGATTCCAGTGAAGTGACCCACATGTGCAGAAGAATAATACCAGGCAGCATGATTTTAGTGGTGCAATACCTGCCAGTTCTGTATGGAGGTGTGTGTGAATGCGGAATCGGAGCCAGGAGTTACACTGTAACAACTTGACTTTCAGTTGGTTCAGTGTACTATTTTGTGAACCTAACTTGAGTGCACTGAAGTTGATATATACTGTAATAAACAAAAAATGTTGTTTCAGCTTAAAAAAAATATTACTGTGCCGCCTTAAAATTTTAAGGTAAGATAGTTTACTTTTGGCTACCTTACAATCACCTGTGGCATAAAAGTGAATAAAATGTATGGTTTTGAGGAGAATGATAAAACAGGGAGTATTTACTATTAAACAGCTGTATGCGATTGGTCTAGTCTTCATATCCACACGGCCAAGACTGGTAATCAAAGTGTCCTCTCGGCAGGCCTGTCAGTGCGAAGGCAGTGCTCTTTTCTGAAGCACATGGAAGGTACTTGTACCACTCTGGAGACTTGTTTCATAAATCTCCAAGAGATTTTAATTCAAAGTCAGCATAAAATCACAAGCAAGGCAAGAGACAAGAAGAAGAAGTTTCTCTTGTCATTACTACAATTAGTCATTAAAATGTTGGGCAAAGTCAAAAGTGTTATTGTAATCAGTTATTTAAGAAGTTTTAATAGGAATGAGGAAATATCTTTTTACAGTGCAGTGATCTATTAGACTGTTTATGGTAAAGGTTCTTGTTTTACGTTGTTTGCACCTCAGCATGTGCGGTCTTCTGCTGATTCTTGCCCTATCACTGTATTTTTCTCCAAGCTACAGTGCTTTGTCGGTATATCAAAGTCTAGTTAACTTCCACAGAAGTGTGGCTGTGAGTTATTCCAACCTTTGTTGCAGTCAAATGAATTCAGTGCATGAAGTGGGGAAAAACTTGATTTTTATAAAGTACTATATGCAGGTACTCCCCTTGTTACTCAGCACCAGGTGCCAGTGCTCCCCTTGTTACTCAGCACCAGGTGCCAGTACTCCCCTTGTTACTCAGCACCAGGTGCCAGTGCTCCCCTTGTTACTCAGCACCAGGTGCCAGTACTCCCCTTGTTACTCAGCACCAGGTGCCAGTGCTCCCCTTGTTATTTAGAACCAGGTGCCAGTACTCCCCTTGTTA